GCCCGGTTAAGGAGCTCAGAAATCAGTGGCTTAGCTTCAGTTGCCCCATGGAGAGCTGAAGGAGCTCAGAAATCAGCGGCTTAGCTTCAGTTGCCCATTGGGCTGTCTATCAAGTCTAAAAGACCGGTAGCCCCATGGCCAGTTGAAGGAGCTCAGAAATCAGCGGCTTAGCTTCAGTTGCCCCATGGCCAGCTGAAGGAGCTCAGAAATCAGCAGCTTAGCTTCAGTGTCCCCATGGAGAGCTGAAGGAGCTCAGAAATCAGCGGCTTAGCTTCAGTTGCCCATCGGGCTGTCTATCAAGTCTAAAAGACCGGTAGCCCCATGGCCAGTTGAAGGAGCTCAGAAATCAGCGGCTTAGCTTCAGTTGCCCCATGGCCAGCTGAAGGAGCTCAGAAATCAGCGGCTTAGCTTCAGTTGCCCATCGGGCTGTCTATCACGTCTAAAAGACCGGTAGCCCCATGGCCAGCTGAAGGAGCTCAGAAATCAGCGTTTTCAGAAAGTAGATGGTGACCCTGAATGGTGACACTGGGTGATGCCAGAATAAAGATGGCGCCGTCCTTCTGGAGAGGAAATCAGATGAAGGCGTTGTCAGGGGGAGCGGTAATACATAGCTGGAAGGGTCACAGTCATACATTACTGAGCATGCTCCACTCGACATGGAAATCTATATATCTGATGACAGGTCCACTTTAAGCGAAACGCTATTTTCCAGCCGCAGATCGAACAACGCTGCCCCAGACTCGGTGACCCCGCCCTGACCCGGCATGCCGGCCCATTTACAATGTTGCGGTGCGCTGGGCACCCCTCACCTCGCATAGAGTACGATCAGCCTATTGAATCACAAAAATCGGACGCGTGACAACATTTTTAATGCGCTGCGGTGCACTCAGTTGTGCTGCGTTGCGTCACAATTTTTTTGTTTTTTGTAGTGCGCTGGAGTGCCTTTAGAAATGCCGCAACGCAACAAAAATAGCGCAGTGCCGAATAGCAAAAAAAGGCCGGTCATGAAAGGAGGGGGGGGGGGGTGGTAAAACTCTAGGCTGAAAACAACTTTCCGTTTGGCTTCACAGGAGTCGATAAAGTTTGTTGCTATTTGTAATTTCCTCCATTTTTCTTGCCGTGTGTATAAATGTGATACAGAATTCAGATCTACACTGTGACTTCCTGCCTGCGGCTCACAAGTACCGCCCCCCATCCCTGAGCCTTCCTCCAGCTCTGATGGAAGCTGACACAGCCTGCGGAGCTGGTAGGCGGAGCTCCTCCATGTCTGGGCCGGTTTGGGGACTTCGTCAGTCGCATCTGTCAGCTCTGCTACACCCAAGAGCCCTTTAGCTGTCGGCGTCTGTTCCTTTAAAGGGCACCTGTCACTCATGGCAGTCGGGGGATGACCTCCAAGGCTCATTAATGTAGACAAGCCGGGGGACAGTAGAAGCAGGCGGCTGAGCTGCGATTTTACCACCCGCCCGCCTAAACAAGGGCATGCGGCCGGTCAGGGGTGTTCACATGCCAAAAATGAAACGGTGGGTTCAGGGGCGGACTGACAACTCATGGGGCCCCCGGGCAATAGGGGATCATGGGGCCCCTGTGTCCTTGCCCAAACTCAAAAAAGCCTATGAAAAAGGTACCAGGGGCATCTCATGGGGCCCCCTACTGACCCCGGGCCCTCGGGCAGTGCCTGAGTTTCCAAATGGTCAGTCCGCCCCTGGGTGTGTTGCGTTCAGCAGGCGGTACCACCACAGAGTGCGACTCATTCAAAAAGGAGCCCCTGGAGCAGGGGGCAGTTAAAGCAGGTGACTGAGCTGCGTTTTTACCGCCCGCCTAAACAAGGGCATAACAGGCGCCCAGGGTTGTACACATACTATGATGCTTTGCTTCATGAGCGTGCAAAAAAAAAAAACAAATGGCTTGTCGCATTACCAACCGCCCCAGTGAATGGGGCCTGTAAAGAGCACCTGTCACTCATGGACAAAGCAGCCAGTCATGGTCAAGGGCTGACCATTGGGGCTCATTCACACGGGTGACCGGGGGGGCAGTTAAAGTAGGTGACTGAGCTGCGTTTTTAAAACCGCCCACGTAAACAAGGGCATAACAGGCACCTAGGGTTGTACACATACTATGATGTTTTGCTTCATGAGCGTGCAAAAAACAAATGGCTTGTCGCATTACCGCCCCAGTAAATGGGGCCTGTAAAGAGCACCTGTCACTCATGGCCAAGGGCTGACCGTTGGGGCTCATTCACATGGGTGACCGGGGGGGTCAGTTAAAGCAAGTGGTTAAGCTGTGGTTTTAACGCCCCCCCAACTGCCCACCTAAATAAAGACATGCAGCCACACAGGGATGCACACATGCCAAGGCTGCAGCGTAAATTGAATGGCGTGTCGCATTCGGTGGGCGGTACTGACACGGACTGCGACCGATTCATATGAATGGGGTCTCTAAAGGGCACCTGTCACTCATGGACAGTGCAGCCAGCTATCGCTAAGGGCTGACCCTGGGGCTCATTCAAACAGGCAGCCCTTAAAAGCAGGTGGTTGAGCTGTGTTTTTACCGCCCCCCTGACTGCCCACCTAAACAAGGGCATAGAGGCACCCAGGGTTGTATACAGGCTGTGATGCTTTGCTAAAAAAAAAAGTCTTGTCGCATTACCGCCTCCGAGTGCAATGCATTCAAGTGAATGAGGCCTTTAAAGAGCACCTGTCACTCACACTTTGAGGGGTCACCCGCCCCCATCTGCAGGTTGTACACCTCATGACGTCACCCAAGGGTCATGGGCAAGGGCTGACCCTTGGGGCTCATTCACACTGGGGGGGGGCAGGGTTGTACACATGCTTTGCTTCATGACCAGGGGCGGACTGACCATTTGGAAACTCAGGCACTGCCCGAGGGCCCGGGGTCAGTAGGAGGCCCCATGAGATGCCCCTGGTACCTTTTTCATAGGCTTTTTTGAGTTTGGGCAGGGACACAGGGGCCCCATGATCCCCTATTGCCCGGGGGCCCCATGAGTTGTCAGTCCGCCCCTGGTCAAGAGCATGCAAAAAAACAAAACAAATGGCTTGTCGCATTACCGCCTCCGAGTGCAACGCACTCAAGTGAATGGGGCCTTTAAAGAGCACCTGTCACTCATGGACAAGGCAGCCAGTCATTGCCAAGGGCTGACCGTTGGGGCTCATTCACACAGGTGACTGGGGGGGCAGTTAAAGCAAATGGTTGAGCTGTGGTTTTAATGCCCCCTCTACCGACTACCCACCTAAACAAGGGCATGCAGCCGCTCAGGGATGCACAAATGCCCCAAACCTCATAGATGCAGTAAAAAAATAAACACGCCGCATTCGGCGGGCAGCGCTGCCACCGAGCGGGACCTGTGCACGCCGTTGTGGTGCAGTGAGTTGGCATTTTCAGGGATCAAAGACATCACGCCTCTGAAAAACGATCCGACGCAAATTGCTTTTCAGAGGTTCAGAAGACCTGCCATACCTATGAACAAGCCCTTAAAGGAACCTCTTTAGATTGTAAGCTCTTGTGCCGCATTGCGGCTGCACTGCCTCCCTCTATGTTTGTAAAGCGCTGCGCAAACTGCTGGCGCTGTATAAATCCTGCATCATAATACCAGCAGGGGTGGACTGACAACTCATGGGGCCCCCGGGCAATAGGGGATCATGGGGCCCCTGTGTCCTTGCCCAAACTCAAAAAAGCCTATGAAAAAGGTACCAGGGGCATCTCATGGGGCCCCCTACTGACCCAGGGCCCTCGGGCACTGGGCAAGTTTCCAAATGGTCAGTCCGCCCCTGCCTGTATCATAATACCAGCAGGGGCGGACTGACAACTCATGGGGCCCCCGGGCAATAGCGGATCATGGGGCCCCTGTGTCCTTGCCCAAACTGAAAAAAGCCTATGAAAAAGGTACCAGGGGCATCTCATGGGGCCCCCTACTGACCCCGGGCCCTCGGGCAGTGCCCGAGTTTCCAAATGGTCAGTCCGCCCCTGCCTGCATCATAATACCAGCAGGGGTGGACTGACAACTCATGGGGCCCCCAGGCAATAGGGAATCATGGGGCCCCTGTGTCTTTGCCCAAACTTAAAAAAGCCTATGAAAAAGGTACCAGGGGCATCTCATGGGGCCCCCTACTGACCCAGGGCCCTCGGGCACTGGGCGAGTTTCCAAATGGTCAGTCCGCCCCTGCCTGTATCATAATACCAGCAGGGGCGGACTGACAACTCATGGGGCCCCCGGGCAATAGGGGATCATGGGGCCCCTGTGTCCTCGCCCACACCCAAAAAAGCCTATGAAAAAGCCAATGAAAGGTACCAGGGGCATCTCATGGGGCCCCCTACTGACCCCGGGCCCTTAGGCAGTGCCCGAGTGCTCAGTCAGTCCGCCCCTGCATCCCAGTAATAATATCGCCGCCATGCGTTCCTCGGTGTACGTGTAGCGCGGACGCCGTCGCAGCAAATGTAGATTTTCCAGGAAGTCGATGGGGTCACCGGTTGTTTGCAGACACCGCGGTGCAGCTGCGCTCCAGACGACGCGCAGAGATTTTTTTTTTTTTGTGTGCGTTAAAATGCAATTAATAAACCGGGCGGCGTGGAAAAGCCTCGGGCGCATCCTGCAGGCTGGCAGCTGCGCTCACCCCTGCGTCTGAGGACAAGCAGGCTGCACCGGGCTCCTCCCAGGGCTGAGCCCAGCCACCAGACCGCCGCCTCCTCCTGCCCCCCCGCCATTGGTGGATTTGCATGGCCCAGCCCAGTTTTCCTGGAAAGTTCTTGGAAATATATGAGCTTAGTTCTGCTGTTCAGATTGGGGCAGCATACTGACACACACCCTTCTATATATAGTGAGAGCGCGACGACGCACGGTCACAGACGCTCGCTGCGCTGCCGAGAGAAAGGACTGTGTCAGCTCGCCCTCCCCGTCACCTCCAGCTAACCTGAAAAAAGAACGATTTCCCCCCCCCCCCCCCCGAGACGACTGTGAATTCCGCCAGCTTCTCCGCGAGAGACCTATGCCTTTTCGTTCTTCGTGGACGGATATGATTCTTTGTGTGAGAGGGTAAGACGCGCGCGCCGCGACTCCACGGCGACAAAAACCCGTGCGGATGGCGATATGTGACGCTGGCGTGTTTCTTTTCCATGCAATGTGTGTTCGGAATCACCTGAGAATGTTGCGATTGTTGCATTTGTGACCTTTGTTTGCTTTTCTATTCGTGTCGCCCCTCGTCTCTAAACTGTCGCGGTGACCTGCTGCGTCTTTCCGACTTTGCGGGTCGCTCGCACCCCCCCCATCTCATGACGTCACCCGTCTCATGACGTCACCTTCCCTGTAATGTCTTTTTTTTCTACCTTCAGCCTTTAGAATGTTACAATTTTGGATCCTGTGAGAATGTTGCGATTGTTGCATTTGTGACCTTTGTTTGCTTTTCGGTATGTGTCGCCCCTCGTCTCTAAACCGTCGCGGTGACCTGCTGCGTCTTTCCGACTTTGCGGGTCGCTCGCACCCCCCATCTCATGACATCACCTTCCCGGTAATGTCTTGTTTTCTAGCTTTAGTCTACAGAATGTTACAATTCGGGATCCTGTGAGAATGTTGCGATTGTTGCATTTGTGACCTTTGTTTGCTTTTCTATTCACGTCACCCCTCGTCTCTAAACTGTCGCGGTGACCTGCTGCGTCTTTCCGACTTTGCGGGTCGCTCGCACCCCCCCCATCTCATGACGTCACCCGTCTCATGATGTCACCTTCCCTGTAATGTCTTTTTTTTCTACCTTCAGTCTTTAGAATGTTACAATTTTGGATCCTGTGAGAATGTTGCGATTGTTGCATTTGTGACCTTTGTTTGTTTGCTTTTCGGTATGTGTCGCCCCTCGTCTCTAAACTGTCGCGGTGACCTGCTGCGTCTTTCCGACTTTGCGAGTCGCTCGCACCCCCCATCTTATGATGTCACCCGTCTCATGACGTCACCTTCCCTGTAATGTCTTTTTTTTCTACCTTCAGTCTATAGAATGTTACAATTCGGGATCATGTGAGAATGTTGCGATTGTTGCATTTGTGACCTTTTTTCTTTTCGGTATGTGTCGCCCCTCGTCTCTAAAAAAACCGTCGCGGTGACCTGCTGCGTCTTTCCGACTTTGCGGGTCGCTCGCCCCCCCCCATCTCATGACATCACCTTCCCGGTAACGTCTTGTTTTCTAGCTTCAGTCTATAGAATGTTACAATTCGGAATCATGAGAGAATGTTGCGATTGTTGCATTTGTTTCCTTTTCTGTATTTGTGGCCTTTGTCAACTGTCGCTGCGTCTTTGCGGGTCGCTCGCCCCCCCATCTCATGACGTCACCTTCCCGGTAATGTCTTGTTTTCTAGCTTTAGTCTACAGAATGTTACAATTCGGGATCCTGTGAGAATGTTGCGATTGTTACATTTGTGACCTTTGTTTGCTTTTCTGTTTGCATCGCCCCTTGTCTCTAAACCGTCGCGGTGACCTGCTGTGTCTTTCCGACTTTGCAGGTCGCTCGCCCCCCCCCCCATCTTATGACGTCACCCTCCCTATAATGTCTATTTTCTACCTTCAGTCTATAGAATGTTAAAATTTGGGATCCTGTGAGAATGTTGCATTTGTTACATTTGTTTCCTTTTCTGTATTTGTGGCCTTTGTCAACTGTTGCTGCGACTTTGCGGGTCACTCGCCCCGTCTGTACCTCACTTGTCTCATGACGTCACCTTCCCTGTAACGTCCTTTTAATTTTCTTTCTAGCTTCAGTCCTATAGAATGTTACAATTGGGGATCCTGTGAGAATGTTGCAATTGTTACATTTGTTTCCTTTTCTGTATTTGTGGCCTTTATCAACTGTTTCTGCGACCTGCTGCCTCTTTGCAGGTCACTCGCCCCATCTGTACCTCGCTTGTCTCATGACGTCACCTTCCCTTTAAATTCCTTTTAATTTTCTTTCTAGCTTCAGTCTATAGAATGTTACAATTCGGGATCATGTGAGAATGTTGCAATTGTTACATTTGCGACCTTTGTTTGCTTTTCGGTATGCATCACCCCTTGTCTCTAAACCATTGCGGTGACCTGCAGCGTCTTTCCGACTTTGCGGGTCGCTCGCCCCCCCCCCCCATCTCATGACATCACCCGCCCCGTCTGTACCTCACTTGTCTCATGATGTCACTCTCCCTATAATGTCTTTTTTTTCTACCTTCAGTCTATAGAATGTTACAATTTGGGATCCTGTGAGAATGTTGCATTTGTTTCCTTTTCTGTTTGCGTCGCCCCTTATCTCTAAACCATCGCGGTGACCTGCTGCGTCTTTCCGACTTTGCGGGTCGCTCGCCCCCCCCCCCCCCCCATCTCATGACGTCACCTTCCCTGTAACGTCTTTTTTTTTTTTTTTTTTCTAGCTTCAGTCTATAGAATGTTACAATTTGGGATCATGTGAGAAAGTTGCAATTGTTACATTTGTTTCCTTTTCTGTATTTGTGGCCTTTTGTCTTTAAATTGTCGCTGCGACCTGCTGCGTCTTTACAGGTCACTCGCCCCGTCTGTACCTCGCTTGTCTCATGACGTCACCCTCTCTAGAATGTCTTTTTTTTTCTAGCTTCAGTCTATAGAATGTTACAATTTGGGATCATGTGAGAATGTTGCGATTGTTGCATTTGTGACCTTTGTTTCCTTTTCTGTTTGCGTCGGCCCTTGCCTCTAAACTGTCGCGGTGACCTGCTGCGTGTTTCCGACTTTGCGGGTCGCTCGACCGCCCCCCCCCCCCCATCTCATGACATCACCTTCCCGGTAACGTCTTGTTTTCTAGCTTCAGTCTATAGAATATTACAATTGGGGATCCTGTGAGAATGTTGCGATTGTTGTATTTGTTACATTTGTTTCCTTTTCTGTATTTGTGGCCTTTGTCACTGCGACCTGCTGCGTCTTTGTGGGTCACTCGCCCCGTCTGTACCTCGCTTGTCTCATGACGTCACCCTCCCTATAATGTCTTTTTTTCTACCTTCCGCCTATAGACTGTTACAATTTGGGATCCTGTAAGAATGTTGCAATTGTTGCATTTGTTTCCTTTTCTGTATTTGTCGCCTTTGTCTCTAAACTGTCGCGGTGACCCGCTGCGTCTTTGCGGGTCACCCGCCCCCATGTGTACGCTGAATGTTACAATTTGGGATCACGTGAGAATGTTGCAATTGTTACATTTGTTTCCTTTTCTGTATTTGTCGCCTTTGTCTCTAAACTGTCGCGGTGACCTCACACCCCATCTGCAGGTTGCCCACCTCATGACGTCACCCTCCCTATAATGTCTTTTTTCTACCTTCAGCCTATAGAATGTTACAATTTGGGATCCTGTGAGAATGTTGCAATTGTTGCATTTGTTTCCTTTTCTGTATTTGTCGCCCTGATTTTTAAACTGTCGCGGTGACCCGCTGCGTCTTTGCGGGTCACCCGCCCCCATGTGTACGCTGAATGTTACAATTTTGGGTCATGTGAGAATGTTGCAATTGTTACATTTGTTTCCTTTTCTGTATTTGTCGCCTTTGTCTCTGTCGCTGCGACCCGCTGTACATCGCCCGCCTCATGACGTCACCCTATTTTTTTTCCTCTCTACCTTCAGTCCACAGAGCCTGCTGGCGGATCAGAGGGGCTGCCGACCTTCTTCGTGCGTGGCGGTCCCCCGGGTTTGCCGCCGACCAAGTCATGCACCCCTTGAACCCGCCGACCTGACCCCCACGCAGCAGCCGCTGAGCTCGCCGGAGCTGCCACCCAGGACGGCCGAAACCTCGCGTGGCTCCTCCTCCCGCGCAGAGGGACCCCGAAGAGGACCTGCTGTGCATCGCCAGGACTTTCTGCTACTTGAGGGAATCCGGTAAGTCCCCCAGGAACGTCTGTTGTTGTTTTTTTTTTTTCTTGCGACGGTGTTAACGATGTGAATGGGTTAAAAACAAAAAACAACAAAAGAAATAAAAGCGCGAGGGGAGCGGCTTGGCTGATTCAGGATATAATTAGATCCAATAGAAATTGCGTATCTCTGCGGGGAATACCGGGAGGAATATTCGGGATTTCTGAGAAAAACAGACACGTGGGGCGAGATGTGCAGCGAGCAGCCGTGACGTCTGAAATACCCAGAAAGATTGAATCACTTCCCTGGAAGCCGCTTCCACTGTACTCCTGCGCAGCCACACCAAACTCCAAGAAACTCCGCGACCACAATCAAATCCACCGCCGCCGCAATCTGACCCGCCACAACTGGGGAGGGGGGTGGGGTGGCTTTTTTTTTTTTTTTTTAATGAGGAATACAAAACATAAAACTGACACTTTCCAACAGTCAGGAAATGTTTTTGAGGATTCATTTTTACGACGTAGGGCAGGGCGGCGGCGGCGGCAGCGCGACCGGCAATTAGCCGCCATCAGCGACCGAAATGTCATCTCCAGACCATTTTATTTGTACCAATAAAGGGCCCCATTAGATCTGTAGTTGGTTTATATTGATTATTGATTTGAAGGAGAACTTATTGATCCCAGATTGTTTGTTTTTTTTTTTTTTTTGCACCCCCACCCAAAAAAAATTTTTTTTGGAACTGAACTCATATCAATTATTTGTTATTTTCAATGCTCACAGTTTGGTTATTGATCTGAAGGATAACTTATTGATCCCAGATTGGTTTTTTTGCACCCCCACCCAAAAAAAAAAAAAAATTTTTTTTGAACTGAACTCATATCAATTATTTGTTATTTAGTTTATTGATCTGAAGGCGCACCGCTGAAAGGAAGGGCCTCATTATATCGGTAATCAAGCTGTTTTATATAGGTTATTGATCTGAAGGAGAACTTATTGATCCCAGATTGTTTTTTGCACCCCCCCAAAAAAAATATATATTTTTTTAACTGAACTCATATTAATTATTTGTTATTTAGTTTGGTTATTGATCTGAAGGCGCACCGCTGAAAGGAAGGGCCTCATTATATCGGTAATCAAACTGTTTTATATAGGTTATTGATCTGAAGGAGAACTTATTGATCCCAGATTGTTTTTTTTGCACCCCCCCAAAAAAATATATATTTTTTTAACTGAACTCATATTAATTATTTGTTATTTAGTTTGGTTATTGATCTGAAGGCGCACCGCTAAAAGGAAGGGCCTCATTATATCGGTAATCAAGCTGTTTTATATAGGTTATTGATCTGAAGGAGAACTTATTGATCCCAGATTGCTTTTTGCACCCCCCCAAAAAAATATATATATTTTTTTTAATTGAACTCATATTAATTATTTGTGATTTTCATCGCTCACAGTTTGGTTATTGATCTGAAGGAGAACTTATTGATCCCAGATTGTTTTTTTTTTTTTCTTTTGCACCCCCCCCCCAAAAAAAAATTATATTTTTTTTTAACTGAATTCATATCTGTTATTTTCATCGCTCGCAGTTTGGGTTTTGATCTGAAAGCGCGCCGCTAAAGGGAAGGGCCTCATTATATCGCTAATCAAACTGTTTTGTATAGGTTATTGGTCAGTATTGATCTGAATGAGAACTTATTGATCCCAGATTGTTTTTTTTTTTGCACCCCCCCCCCAAAAAAAATATTTTTTTTTAACTGAACTCATATCAGTTATGACTTTCAGTGCTCACAGTTTGGTTATTGATCTGTTTTGCTCTGAAGGAGATCTTATTGATCCCAGATTGGTTTTTTGCACCCCCCCCCCCCCCCTCCAAAAAAAAAATATATTTTTTTTAACTGAACTCATATCAATTATTTGTGATTTTCAGTGCTCACAGTTTGGTTATTGATCTGTATTGATCTGAAAGTGCACCGCGAAAGGGAAGGGCCTCATTATATCTGTAATCAAACTGTTTTTATATAAGTTATTGGTCAGTATTGATCAACAGATTGTTTTTCGCAAACCCCCCCACCCAAAAAAAGTTTTTTATAACATTAATATTGATTATTTTCATTGCTTACACTTAGATTATTGATCTGTATTGCTCTGATGGAGCTCCACTAAAGGGCCTCATTATATCTGTATTCAAACTGTTTTATATAAATATTGGTCAGTATTGATCAACTCATTGATCCCAGTTTGCTTTTTGCAACCCCTGCCCCCCCCCCCCCCCCCCAAAAAAAAAAAGTTAAAAAAAAAACGAACTCATCAATTTATATGATTTTCATTGCTAACAGTTTGGTTATTGATCTGTATTGCTCTGAAGGCGCACTGCTATAGGGCCTCATTATATCTGTAATCAAACTATTTTATATAGATTATTGGACAGTATTGATCTAAAGTATATCTCCATTGATCCTAGATTGTTTTTTGTTTTTTTTTGCAACCGCCCCCCCCCCCCCTCCCTCCCCCACCACCACCAAAAAAAATTTTTCTTAAAAATTTAACTTATTGTTTGTTATTTTCATCTCTTACACTTAGATATTGAACTGTATTGCTCTGAAGGCGCTCCGCCACAGGGACTTGTTTTTTGATCTGAAGGCCAATTGATTGATCGCAGATTGGTTTTTGATCTGAAGGCCAATTGATTGATCACAGATTGGTTTTTGATCTCAAGGCCAATTGATTGATCACAGATTGGTTTTTGATCTCAAGGCCAATTGATTGATCACAGATTGGTTTTTGATCTCAAGGCCAATTGATTGATCACAGATTGGTTTTTGATCTCAAGGCCAATTGATTGATCACAGATTGGTTTTTGATCTCAAGGCCAATTGATTGATCACAGATTGGTTTTTGATCTCAAGGCCAATTGATTGATCACAGATTGGTTTTTGATCTCAAGGCCAATTGATTGATCACAGATTGGTTTTTGATCTCAAGGCCAATTGATTGATCACAGATTGGTTTTTGATCTCAAGGCCAATTGACTCGTCACAGTTCTTAAAAAAAAAAAAACTGACAAATTTTTTGTTTTTCTTGCTTTTTTTTATATACATTTTATCTACAATCAATATACAGGTGCTTGTGTAGATTATTGGGCTGTATTGATCTGGGGGATAATTCACTGATCACAGCTTGCCTCCCCCCCTCGGAAAAAAAAAAATCATATTTTTTTTAATCATAGCAGTTTTTTGCTATCCTCGCTGCTTGTTTTATTTTACAATAATAATAATAAAAGATACAAAATAGCAGGTTTTGCGCCAATGTTTTCTAAACGCGTCTTTGCTTCGCTCTCCTTCCAGGTTGGTACTGGGGCTCCATCACCGCCACAGAAGCCAAGCAGAAGCTGCAGAAGATGCCGGAAGGATTTTTCCTGGTGCGGGACAGCACCCACCCGAGCTACCTCTTCACTCTGTCGGTTCGGACTAACCGCGGACCCACGAACGTTCGTATCGAGTATTCCGACAGCCTCTTCCGACTGGACTCCAACTGGCTGTCCAAGCCGCGAATCCTCTCTTTCCCCGACGTGGTCAGCCTGGTCCAGCACTACGTCTCGTCCTGCAGCTCGGATGGCCCCAAAGAGCCCGCCAGCCAACCGCCGCCCGAGCCGAGCCCCTTAAAGGAACCCGCGGCCGTCCACCTTAAGCTCCTGCAGCCCTTGCACGAACCGAAGCGGAGAGAGCCCGAGCTTGCAGCACCTGTGCCGGCTGCAGATCAACCGGAGCATGGCGCCCGGCATGGAGGTGACGGAGCTGCCGCTGCCGCGCAGGATGGTGGAGTACCTACAGAGGTACCCATTCAAGCTCTGATGGTTTTCAGGGATGGACTCCATTTTTTTTTTTCTCCTACACATACTTCCCACACATGGACTGTAAATATTCCTGATATTTATTATGAATGGCCGCACACCCGGCGTCTTTTTCTAGCACTGATAGCTGCCCAAAGATGAATATTACTGCTCAGCAGCGGACTGCGGCACCAACTGAACTGCTCGGCGTTCACCGATGTAGCCACTATAATAGTGACCGCGGCGAAACGCCAGATATTACCGACTTTTGTCACCTGCTTCATACTGGCGGTCTGTCTTCACCGGATCTACGTCACGGGGGGAACTAGAGATCTGAATCTCGCAGACCGCCATCTTGGGCAGAGGCCACTTTCCGGCCCGAAACACTAAACCTTCCGGCTGATAATTGGGGCAGAATGGGAACAAATCGGCTTCTCTGCCGCCTTCCTGGATGACAATAAATAGGATTTGATATAAAATTTGTTGTCGTGTCGTTTTATGCTGGGGGGGTCGTTTGATTTGTTTTTTACAGGGTTTTGTTTTTAGGCTGGGGGGGTCGTTTGATTTGTTTTTTTTACAGGGTTTGTTTTAGGCTGGGGGGGTCGTTTGATTTGTTTTTTTACAGGGTTTGTTTTAGGCTGGGGGGGGGTCGTTTGATTTGTTTTTTACAGGGTTTGTTTTAGGCTGGGGGGGTCGTTTGATTTGTTTTTTACAGGGTTTGTTTTAGGCTGGGGGGGGGTCGTGTGATTTTTTTTTTTTTTTTTTTTTTTTTTTTTCTTCAAGGTTTGTTTTAGGCTGGAGGGGTTGTTTGATTTTTTTTTTCAGGGTTTGTTTTAGGCTGGGGGGGTTGTTTGATTTTTTTTTTCAGGGTTTGTTATAGGCTGGGGGGGTGTTTGATTTTTTTTTCAGGGTTTGTTATAGGCTGGAGGGGTTGTTTGATTTTTTTTTTTTTCAGATTTTGTTATAGGCTGGGGGGGTTGTTTGATTTTTTTTTGTTTTTTGTTTTCAGGGTTTGTTATAGGCTGGGGGGGGGGGGTGTTTGATTTTTTTTCAGGGTTTGTTATAGGCTGGGGGGGGTTGTTTGATTTTTTTTTCAGGGTTTGTTATAGGCTGGGGGGGGTGTTTGATTTTTTTTTTCAGGGTTTGTTATAGGCTGGGGGGCTTGTTTGATTTTTTTTTCAGGGTTTGTTATAGGCTGGGGGGGTGTTTGATTTTTTTTTTTCAGGGTTTGTTATAGGCTGGGGGGCTTGTTTGATTTTTTTTTTTTCAGATTTTTTTTATAGGCTGGGGGGGTGTTTGATTTTTTTTTCAGGGTTTGTTATAGACTGGGGGGGGGGGTCGTGTGATTTTTTTTTTTTTTTTTTTTTTTTTTTTTTTTTCAAGGTTTGTTTTTAGGCTGGGGGGTTGTTTGATTTTTTTTTTTTCAGGGTTTGTTATAGGCTGGGGGGGTTGTTTGATTTTTTTTGTTTTTTGTTTTCAGGGTTTGTTATAGGCTGGGGGGGTTGTCTGATATTTTTTTTTTTGGGGGGGGGTTTGTTATAGGCTGGGGGGGTTGTTTGATTTTTTTTTTTCTCAAGGTTTGTTTTAGGCTGGGGGGTTGTTTGATTTTTTTTTTTTTTCAGGGTTTGTTATAGGCTGGGGGGGTTGTTTGATTTTTTTTTTCAGGGTTTGTTATAGGCTGGGGGGGGGGGTTGTTTGATTTTTCTTTTCAGGGTTTGTTATAGGCCGGGGGGGTTGTCTGATATTTTTTTTTTTTGGGGGGGTTTTGTTATAGGCTGGGGGTGTTGTCTGATTTTTTTTTTATTTTCGGGGTTTGTTTTAGGCTGGGGGGGGTTGTCTGCATTGTGCAGTTGGCTGACTGTCCCTGGGTACGCCTTGATGCAGCCCGGAATATTCCACCACTGAACTCTACACATGGGCAGAACGAGAAAATTAATTTTGTTTCGGATCCTTCAATCTGTAATGAAATTCCTTTTCGTTTTGTTTATTTGTTTTCAACCGGATTAAAAAATTTCTCCAATGGATTCGAAGACGTTTATATTCCAAAAACAGTTTATAGTTTTGGAAGGAAATCCGCAATAGTCAGCAATATGTTTATATTTCGAATTTGTTTTCGTTTTTTTCGAATTTACTTTTGAATTCGATTTCAAATTTTATTATTTCAGATTCATTTCAGTTACTTTTGTAATTCAGAAATTCGGATACATCTGAATCCCCGAATAATGAACATGTTGTCTGAATTTCGATTTGGAACTAAACGAACCGCACGTCTAGTCAGTTCTTCACATTTCATTTTGAGAATTAAAAAAAAAAATGTTTTTGATGATTCCAGCTTTGACCCGAGTG